TCCTCCGTTGTTGTTGTTTTGAGAGAAGATACCTGGGAAGATTCTAGCTGTGGTAGTATGGGGGTACTGTGTGTCTGTGAGAGACAGTGACAGTGTGTGCTTTGGCTCACCTGCTCTTACTGATGGGTGAAATTGAGTATGGTGCCAGAGGATCTAGCTTTCTTGGAGATGACTGGTACTGGGGGAGGGGGAGAGGGAGGGAAAGGTTCACGGTAATCTAATTACTGTTACGGTGGGTAGGATGAAGCAAAACACTGGAGAAAAGACGTACCTTTAAAACATTGGACTTGGACGGTGAGATTATGGTTAGAGGGCTTCCTCGCGACACTGAATGAGGGTCCTATTGTATCACCAATGACAACAGAAGTAAAAAACCACAAGAATAACTTTTTCACATGTTCCTTACTCCCACATGTAGATACAATACATTAGTCATGGACGAAAACACAAATTTTTTTGTACATAGATTGAAAGTTTGTAGATATCTACTTATTGTGCACGCCAGGATTGTGCGATTGTTTGGTAGAAAGTCGGCAGGCAAGGCACAAGTCAACTACACCAGGACAACTCAAAGAAATGCAGAGAAAACTGTCTGGTGGGATTCGTTCCTCTTCCTCCCAACCACGGAAACCGAACCACGACACTCTGCAGTCTAGTCGCGATGCGCTTCTACCAACTGAGCTACCAGGGCCACTCAGCTGGCAGGGGACAATCAGTTTGGTAAAAGAATCAAAGGTGCACCGGTTCACCAGTCGGACTCACGGGAATCTCGGTGAGGTGTCTGTTGAGGAGTTCGTTCTGCAGAGCACACTGGTAGGTGAGGTTCTCCACTTTTGGTGGCTCAGTTGACTGCTCTCTGAGTACAAAGGCGGGGACAGGGGAAGAGAGAGCATTGCCACCCATTCAAGGCGACAAACAAGGAGTTATACATACTAAGAGCAGATATGGGATTTGCGACAGACTATACCACAACTAGGTAGAGAGGACAAAGAGAAGAGTGTGTTAGTGGCATCCTAGTGAGCGGGTTCGCTGGCTCACCTTCTATTGGAGGAGAGGTCAGGCAGGGGAGAGATGGGAGAACCAAACAGACATCTCCGTGGGGAGCCGACACGACTGGGAATACATCTGAGGAACACGACAACACACTGACATGATCAACAGGAGATCTACAAGTCCTGTGGTTTATGTCCGCTGGGCCCCCACCGGTGGGGCCCAAAACCGACCACACATGACACTACAGAATCAGGAGGATTATCTTTACATAGACACCATAGTCGCGAAAACAATAGGTTTAGATAGTAAGATTGTTCTCTAAAACTGAAGCATTATCATGTGACTGTGAACAGGAACATAGGCTATGACCAATCCATAGCAGCACCACACCTGGATCCAACCCACACTCCCTCCCACCTTCTCTTAGACTTTGTTCTCTTTAGTTACACCAAAAAGTCGCTCAAGCAGATTTTCTATTTAGTGCCCAGTATATATACCTGTCATAGTATGCACTCTTGTGTCTGGTGGAGGAGAGAGGGGTAGAACAGGGGGACGGAGAGTGTGTGCGTCCCACAGAGGAGGGGGTGCGTGGAGTGGCGGGGTCACAGTGAGTTGGAGTGGCAGGCGGTGTCTATAGAAGAACACACACACACTTTAGACATAGATAGATACTATATTCCCCACTCATAGCTTTAGATCACACAAGACCAGAAAGCGGCAGGCTGGCCAGCATGATAAAACCAGGCACCAAAACGTTCTTCTCGGGCTTAAGGCACTCACCCCGGTCAACGTCTCCATCAGACGCCTTTCGAAAGACGCCTCCATGTGTTGATTTTCGTTCTTTCTCTCACTTTCCCGTGAGCAGCCGCGTGCTCTATTTCTCCAAATTCCGGCAAAGACACTGGGAAGATCAGGCACCAACAAATTGTCCAGGGACGAAGGCTGAGCCGAGCGAGCCAAAAACCAGATTCCAGCCAAAAACGACGGTGGCAAAACGTATATAGGCCGCCGGCCGCACACTCAGCTCAGGCGTCGATCGCGCAGGATTCAAATTCCGAGCGCATGCATGACGTCATATAGATAGCTGAATCAGCATAAAATCCACGTGGAGCTAGCTAGAGCTATGGCCGATGACGACTCCTCTGCCACTGAACTGAGCAGCGACGAAGAGGTGAGCGTGACTATCCAGTGCCAATAGTGGGCCAGTGCTAAGTGCGGTTGTGCCACACACACAGCTTCAGGAGGGCCTTGCTCGCGGGACTCTCCAGCCAGGTCTCATTGGGCGAGTTCCGCCACCCAAGACCTACACCAACAACGTGGTTCGTTTCACACCTACTCAGAGAGACAGAGGATCACTTCTCGCTGACCCTGACTCTTATTGCAGGCCGGTCTTCGTGAGTCGCTGGCGGTGCTCAAGAGGAAGGGGCAGAGTGAATGGCTGGAGAGGATGGATGTCACGTGTCGTGCCATCCCGCCTTCTGAGGTGGTGGCGGCCGAGAAAGAGGGGCAGGGGGAGGCAGAGGAGAAGGAACTGGACCCCAATGATGATTTCAAGAGGGAGATGTGGTTGTAAGTAGAGAGAAAACCAACTCACCGATTCCCTAATGCAGAAGCAAAAGGGAGGAATCCTCAATTTAGTGGGTGTACTTAGAGAGTTGCTTGTTTTCCTGTAGCTACCAGCAGGCACTGTCTGCGGTTGAGCTGGGCCAAAGAAAACTAGAAGAGCTGGATATACCCACTACTCGACCCGATGACTACTTTGCAGAGATGGTCAAGACAGACGACCACATGAGAAAGGTCAGAGTACGGGGCCCCCACGTTGGAGTATTGATTTACTCCTAACTGCCATAAAAGGTGAGGGAGAGGTTGCTGAGTCGTCAGAAGGGTCTGGAGCAGAGGGAAAAGGCTCGGAAGCTCAGAGATCTGAAAAAGTTTGGCAAGAAGGTGGGTCATGAACACATTTTGTGCGTACTGTGAATAATGTACATCAGTGTGATGTGGTGTGTGTTTCTTTCTCCTGGTAAATCCTGACTCTGATTTACACTCACAGGTGCAGCAGGACATCCTACAGAAGAGACGCGAAGAGAAGAAAAACGCAATCAGGAGCCTCAAGAAAGGCTAGTACACTAGGCGATTGGCAGTGTTGGTGTGTGAGTGTGGTGGTTACAGGGAAGGGAGAGAAGGTGGGAGCTGTCCTGGGAGACAGGAAGAAAGAGGCTGAGAGGGAAGAGGAGGAGTTTGCGGTGAGTGCAGCCAGAGACGAGGACGGAGGGAAAACCGCAGAGAAGAAGAGGAAGAAGGGCACTCAAGTTGGTAGAAATTCAAAAAAGCGGCAATTCAAAGTAAGAGATAAAATATGGCCTGTTTGTGACGTGGCGTTGTTGTTCATGGACTGCAGGACAAGAAGTTTGGGTTTGGTGGCAGGAAAAGCGGGCAGAAGAGGAATTCTGCGGGATCAAGTGCAGACATGTCCGGATTCAGCTCTGCTAGACACAGCAAGCCAGCGGCTAAAAATCGCAAACAGCACAGAGGGAGAAAATGATATCTTTACTCAAACATTCTGTGCTATTGTTGCATGCTCTCCTGCTCTTTCTGTCTCCACGCTGCGTCCATGTATTTTGTAATCTCCGACATGACGTGAGGGTGGTGCAACCTTCGGTCGTTACGCGGCTGCTCAACCTGTGCCAGAAACCACAATCAGCAATTCAATGAACGTTTCTGTGTTATATATACCAGGGGTTTTGTGTCCCAGCCAATCTCCTGTGCCTCTGTCTGTGGATAGCTGTATCTGCTCCGTGGGGCTCCCTGTGCCTCTCTGTAGGTCTGTAGAAACTCGGCTGCAGGCAGGGCCAATTATTGCAGGGGTAAACCTTGTAACTGGTGCATGATTTACATAGCCTCACCGTCCTCTGCTGCGTCTGCTGGATCGTGGGGGGAGTTTGGCTTTCCAGCTACAACGTGCACTGATGGTGGAATTGGAAGATGAGTGACTGATGTTGCTAGGAGCTACGCGCTGCGCACAAGTCGGCTTACTCTTCTTGTAGGGGTTGACGCCGTAGCTGGTGTAGAGTTTCTGGTCCCTCTGCTCCTTGTGAATGGTCTCGCAGAAGATCGCGTTCCTGTGCACGATATTTTCGGGTTCTTTCTCCTCCGCGCCCGCCATTTTGTTTCCGGGGCAACGCATAAACATTATTAGCGCATGCGCATTAAAAATAATTATATGAGCAGTGGATATATATACGACAACACATACATTCAGAACCGAGTTTCTATTTCATTATGGAGATTGATTACAAATATTTGGGCAGGGGTCAAAACTAGCATAGTAGAAGATGAAAGAGGGCAGCAAACAGGAGCAGGGCCGAGGACGACAGCAGCAGTGTAGGTCTTTCTGAGCTTGCACCGGACTCTGAGGGTTGATCAGGTCTTGCACCGGAATCTGAGGGCTGATCAGGTCTTGCACCGGAAGTTGAGGGTTGATTAGGTCTTGCACCGGAAGTTGAGGGTTGATCAGTGGTAGGGTTGCTCTGTGATGGACCTACATTTTGCAAGTAATGAAAATCTTTCACCCTTCAAACACATATCATGCAAGTGCAAAAGGTTCCATTTTTACTTGACATGCTCAAAACCTATACCTATTAGAACACCATACGTACTGCACAATGTATGCCTGCTATATGGAAGCAGTGAGCTGAAGTAAAAAAATCAAATGACTGTGTCTTTTTCAATGCATTGCTGTGGAGTAACGCTGTCATTAAGACGTTGATGAGTAGCTCTTCTTCTCTTGATAAACACTGCAGCTAGAGCAACGGCTACAATGGCTGAAACGATTAGAACCAGCAGAGATACTGATAATATGACAGGTAGTGCCCCAACTGAAGCCTCAGCTCCCGAGTCCACTGAGTGTACGCAGGACACATGCAAACTCACGACATCTTACGTAACATTAACTCACTTGTAACTGGAGAGCTAACAGAATCTTCCTTGTCACCAAAATCGTTCCCACCGCCAATGAGGGTCTCATTCCCGGCCCGAGGCTCATTCCCAGGCCCTGAGCCTATCTCAGGTATCTCCTCTACCACAATGAGTGACGTAAGCTCCGTGACAAAGTTATACTTCAGCGAAAGGTCCAGAGCTTTTTGGAGGTTGGCGTTAATCTCAGACTGATTGGTTGACGCCAGTCGGCTGTTGAGAAGTTGTTGTATTAGTAAATGCGCCTGGAGCCTCTCTGTCGATGGAGAGTAGTCTCCAACGATGCTAGTTGGATTGGTACTGATTTCAGCAGTGAAGGACACCTGACCGTCGGTACCTGTTCCCACAACTTCCACATCGATATTCTGTGTGTCCTTGTTACACTGACCCGCCACCACTATCTCCCCACCTTCAAACAGTAGAGGAAACTCTGTGGCGGAGGAAGTTTTCACCGAGTTCTCATCATAGGAGATCTTGATGTTTTGCAAGACGGGTGTCGAAATTTCGTCGAAAAACCCTTCCAACTGTTCCGCTGCATCATCTCCCTCGTAGATTGTCCTCACGATCCCGTCGTTCTGTAGAGCTAGTCTCTCGAGCAGCTGAAAGTTTAGGTTTTGCCCAAAACCAAGGCAGTTGAGGGAGATTGACGTGCCAGTGAGGGCTTCCCCGGCGTTAGCGACAATTTTGTCTTCATTAGTCACACCCACTGTCGGCGCTCCATCAGTGAGCATCACAAGAAGAGGTATGCGGCCCTGGCTGGCGGACTCATCTCTCCTCTTCAGAACTGCTATCCCGTCGAGAAGTCCAGCATTAAAATTGGTGGAGCCGCTGGCCTGCAGTGATTGTGCAAACATGACACCTTCCAATCGGTACTCGCTCGCAGAGACAAGATCCTCGTGCCAGTACCTGACGTTGGTGGAGAAGGTGAGCATTGTGAATCGGTCAGTGTCCCGCAGCTGATTGATGATTGTCTCCAGGGCATCTCTCGTCTGTGTGATCTTGGTCCCCGACATTGAGCCAGAGACGTCAATCACAAACACCAGGTCCACAGGGACCGCTTCGGCTCCAGTCTTTGAGAAAAACTGAGCAAAATAGCAGTTGCTGTCCACCACAAACTCTCCCACACTGACAGAGGTGGGAGTAACATCAAATTCGATATCCAGGTCTCGCCCGAGCCCATATTTGGCCGAGTCTTCTCTCTGTTGATCAGCTGATGGTTGGTAGGAGAACACAACTTCTGTATCGGAGAGTCTTTGGGACAAAACAAAGTCAGACGCAGCCGTTTCCACAACTCCTTGAGGATCGACGACCCTAACCCGAGCCTGAAAGTCATCTACCACTGATCCAGGGTTGAGGTTGACTCTGTAGCTGTACTTGGAGCGACGACGTACAATCAACTCCTCATACTTGAGGACAAACGTCGCCTCGGAGTCTGCTGCTGTGTTGATGCGAATGGAAAACACTTCCGAACCCCTATAATTAGAGAGAAACACCTCAGTTATTCCAATACTACCATAGAAACACCTCAGTTATTCCAATACTGCAGTAGAAACACCTCAATACTGCCGTGCCTTAAATTTAATATTACGCAGTAAGCATACACAGGGGGGCTTTGCCCCATAGATTAAGGTCTTTTGCCTCTGTAGCAGATTCCACCTCAGTAAAATTGTATTAAATTTGCAGTATTGGAGGATATGTCCAGTACATACATGACTTGTATTGTGCAAGTGAGAGCATAGAGACCTTGATTGAACCAGTCCAGCGTTCTCCCCAGCACTTATCCTCTCCTCAAACTCTTGCTCTGCCTCTGCCTTCTCTTTTGCAACCCCATAGTACGTCCTCCCGTTCACTGACCTGTGCAGCACACAGTAAAACGATCCACGCAGAAATTCTCGCCGTGACTTACATGGAAAAGTTTGATATGAAGGCAGTCTCCGGTAGCTGCATGCGGAACTCCAGTTCCTTGGATTGCTCTGGGTCGCTGTTCTGCACGACACTCGTGATGCTCGTGACGGCGTAGCGAGATACGACCAGGGAATCGACGTGGAACAGCTTGTACACTATCGCCTCCTCCGAGTCTTGCCGCTTCACTAGAGCCGCGGACGCAGCAGCAGCGACGAGGAGCAGAAGCAGTGCACGGAGAACCCCCATCTTTACGATCACAGGCACAACAATCGGCGATCTGGGACGGACGACAGACCCGTTTCGTACTTTATACCGGCCGTCGCGAGCGGGAGCGAGCTAACCTAGTGCAGTGGTCCGAACGGCGCGATTTATATACGACCGCGTACGTCGTCTAAGTGCGCATGCGCGGGTTCGTTACGCGCTTTACACACACACACGCTGCCTCGCGCGCGATATATGCGCCGCCGATCGATCAAGCCAAACTCTCCTCGGCATGCGCTGCAATCGCTGCCCCGCTGCCCTATAGCTAGCTGTAGCTAGCTAGCAAGCTCAGCATCATCGATTCTGCGATTGATTGGTCTAGAGAAGATGCCCTTCGTCGTCGACGGGAGAGGGAAAGAGAACGTCGTGCCAGTGAGACTTCTGAGCAAAGAGAGAGGCTCGTCTTTCTTCGGGTGACTGTCGATCTTGGCAGAGAGTCGGGATGAGAAGGATAGCGGTATAGTAATGTCTCGGAACTGATAGTTTTGGTCGTTACGCGGCTGCTCAACCTGTGCCAGAAACCACAATCAGCAATTCAATGAGGGTTTCTGTGTTATATATACCAGGGGTTTTGTGTCCCAGCCGATCTCCTGTGCCTCTGTCTGTGGATAGCTGTATCTGCTCCGTGGGGTTCCCTGGGCCTTTCTGTAGGTCTGTAGAAACTCGTCTGCAGGCAGGGCCAATTATTGCAGGGGTAAACCTTGTAATTGGTGCATGATTTACATCTAGCCTCACCGTCTTCTGCTGCGTCTGCTGAATCGTGAGGGGAGTTTGGCTTTCCAGCTACAACGTGCACTGATGGTGGAATTGGAAGATGAGTGACTGATGTTGCTAGGAGCTACGCACTGCGCACAAGTCGGCTTACTCTTCTTGTAGGGGTTGACGCCGTAGCTGGTGTAGAGTTTCTGGTCCCTCTGCTCCTTGTGAATGGTCTCGCAGAAGATCGCGTTCCTGTGCACGATATTTTCGGGTTCTTTCTCCTCCGCGCCCGCCATTTTGTATCCGGGGGCAACGCATAAACATTATTAGCGCATGCGCATTGATATTACTATTACACGAACAGTATACAGTAGATACGACAACACAGAACGGAGATTGTTTTCCATTATGGCGATGGATTGAAAATATTTGGGCAGGGGTCAAAACTAGCATAGTAGAAGATGGAAGAGGGCAGCAAACAGGACCGAGGACGACAGCGCCGTTGGACTCTCTGAGCTTTCACCCGACCCTGAGGAAATTTTGGGTTGATCAGGGTTAGGGTTACTCTGTGGTGGTAGACCTACATTGTGCAAATGTCATCAAGTAGAAAATGGAAATCTTACACCCTTGAAACACCTCAAATTAATATCGTGCAAGTGCAAAAGGTTCCATTTTTACTTGACATGCTCAAAACCTATACCTATTAGAACACCATACGTACTGCACAATGTATGCCTGCTATATGGAAGCAGTGAGCTGAAGTAAAAAATCAAATGACTGTGTCCTTTTCAATGCATTGCTGTGGAGTAACGCTGTCATTAAGACGTCGATGAGTCGCTCTTCTTCTCTTGATAAACACTGCAGCTAGAACAACGGCTGACACGACTAGAACTACAACGACCAGCAGAGATACTGATAATATGACAGGTAGTGCCCCAACTGAAGCTCCTGAGTTCACTGAGTGTATGCAGGACACATGCAAACTCATGGACATCTTACGTAACATTAACTCACTTGAAACTCCAGGAGAGTTAGCAAAATCTTCGCCGCCACCAAAATCGTTCCCACCGCCAATGAGGGTCTCATTCCCGGACCCCGAGCATATCTCCTCTACCACAATGAGCGACGTAAGCTCCGTGACAAAGTTATACTTCAGCGAAAGGTCCAGGGCTTTTAGGAGGTTAGCGTTAATCTCAGACTGATCGGTTGACGCCAGTCGGCTGTTGAGAAGTTGTTGTATTAGCAAATACGCCTGGAGCCTCTCTGTCGATGGAGAGTAGTCTCCAACGATGCTAGTTGGATTGGTACTGATTTCAGCAGTGAAGGACACCTGACCGTCGGTACCTGTTCCCACAACTTCCACGTCGATATTCTGTGTGTCCTTGTTACACTGACCTGCCACCACTATCTCCCCACCTTCAAACAGCAGAGGAAACTCTGTGGCGGAGGAAGTTTTCACCGAGTTATCGTCATAGGAGATCTTGATGTTTTGCAAGACGGGTGTCGAAATTTCGTCGAAAAAACCTTCCAACTGTTCCGCTGCATCATCTCCCTCGTAGATTGTCCTCACGATCCCGTCGTTCTGTAGAGCCAGTCTCTCGAGCAGCTGAAAGTTTAGGTTTTGACCAAAACCGAGGCAGTTGAGGGAGATTGACGTGCCGGTGAGGGCTTCCCTGGCGTTAGCGACAATTTTGTCTTCATCAGTCACACCCTGTGTCGGCTCTCCATCGGTGAGCACCACAAGAAGAGGTATGCGGCTTTGGCTGGCGGACTCATCTCTCCCCTTCAGAACTTCTATCCCGTCGAGAAGTCCAGCATTAAAATTGGTGCCGCCATTGGCCAGCAGTGATTGTGCAAACTCGACCCCTTCAAGTCGGTACTCGCTTGCAGAGACAAGATCCTCGCGCCAGTACCTGACGTTGGTAGAGAAGGTGAGCATTGTGAACCGGTCAGTGTCCCGCAGCTGATTGATGATTGTCTCCAGGGCCTCTCGCGTCTGTGCGATCTTGGTCCCCGACATTGAGCCAGAGACGTCAATCACAAACACCAGGTCCACAGGGACCGCTTCGGCTCCAGTCTTTGAGAAAAACTGAGCAAAATAGCAGTTGCTGTCCACCACAAACTCTCCCACACTGACAGAGGTTGGAGTAACGTCAAATTCTATATCCAGGTCTCGCCCGAGCCCATATTCGGTCGAGTCTTCTCTCTGTTGATCAGCCGATGGTTGGTAGGAGAACACAACTTCTGTATCGGAGAGTCTTTGGGACGACACAAAGTCAGACGCAGCCGTTTCCACAACTCCTTGAGGATCGACGACCCTAACCCGAGCCTGAAAGTCATTTACCACTGATCCAGGGTTGAGGTTGACGCTGTAGCTGTACTTGGAGCGGCGACGTACAATCAACTCCTCATACTTGAGGACAAACGCCGCCTCGGAGTCTGCCGCTGTGTTGATGCGAATGGAAAACACTTCGGAACCCCTAATAATTAGAGAGAAACACCCCAGTTATTCCAATACTGCCGTAGAAACACCTCAGTTATTCCAATACTGCCGTGCCTTAAATTTAATATTACGCAGTAAGCATACACAGGGGGGCTTTGCCCCATAGATTAAGGTGTTTTGTCACTGTAGCAGATTCCACCTCAGTAAAATTGTATTAAATTTGCAGTATTTGAGGATATGTCCAGTACATACATGACTTGTATTGTGCAATTGAGAGCATAGAGACCTTGATTGAACCAGTCCAGCGTTCTCCCCAGCACTTATCCTCTCCTCAAACTCTTGCTCTGCCTCTGCCTTCTCTTTTGCAACCCCATAGTACGTCCTCCCGTTCACTGACCTGTGCAGCACACAGTAAAACGATCCACGCAGAAATTCTCGCCGTGACTTACATGGAAAAGTTTGATATGAAGGCAGTCTCCGGTAGCTGCATGCGGAATTCCAGTTCCTTGGATTGCTCTGGGTCGCTGTTCTGCACGACACTCGTGATGCTCGTGACGGCGTAGCGAGATACGACCAGGGAATCGACGTGGAACAGCTTGTACACTATCGCCTCCTCCGAGTCTTGCCGCTTCACTAGAGCCGCGGACGCAGCAGCAACGACGAGGAGCAGAAGCAGTGCACGGAGAACCCCCATCTTCACGATCAGGCAAAAATCGGACGCACTTGGGACGGACGACACACCCGTTTTATTAGTAGTACACCGGTTCATTACCACACCACATAACCGGAAGTAGGCTGGCCTCTAAACCACGCCCCCTTCGTCTAGATTGGGATTCCAGAGCGGCACAAGTGTAGTGTGCGTGACTGGGCCGGTCAGTAAAGCTTTCTTGGCACGGAAGAGTCGGGATGAGAAAGATAGCGGTATAGTAATGTCTCGGACCTGATCGTTTTGGTCCCTGATCTCTCGGAGAAGGCGTCGCGGGGAAGGGAAAACGCGCAAGTGTGTGACAAAAGCGCCTGCAAAACGCCGACCCCCCGATCGCGCACTCGCGCCGGCAATTTTCCTGCGGTCGCTGTCTTCCCTTCCTGACCGGTGGAATCAAGTCGGGTGGTGGTGTGTGCGATGCCTGAGACGGAGAGAAAGCTTGTTCTACACAGCCCCGCCAGTTCAGAGATCGTCGAGTATCGTTGGCCGCTCACAAGAACGGTGAGTATGATGTTACGCCGCCATCGACGTGATCGTGCGGCGGATGCTATCCTGCATCATGCCCGCCAAGTACGATTATGGCGGTTTTTTGCACGGGCGGCTGCTTGTACGTAAGGTTTTGAAGTGAAGAGGGTGGCTATAAATGGTGTATCCTGCTGTACTTGCGCGTATCATAAGCGAACAAAGACCGTTCCCTATATACTCTTGTGTGGCCCCCTTTTTGCCTTTCGGAGGATGCAGCTGGTTGTTTGCCTACCATTCCATTGTGTACTGGACCAGTAAATGAGAGAATATGCAGCTGAATTAAAGCAGAAGCAGACTAGCAAATGCTTTAGAGAAACAAGCAGCACACCATGGAAAACATGTGTTTCTCTAAATGGAGCCACTCTGTGTGCATCTGTGTCGGTGTACTGCCTCAGCTCTACTTGTGTTTGTAATCACTCAAGAATATTGGTAGATTGCTAATGATGCTCGGAGAGCTTGTGTGTGTAAATCGCTCACCCTGTGCGCGATTTCTTGCTCGTGTGGGATCCCGCAGGATGATCTATCTGTCACCGTGTGCACAGATGTTCAGTTTGTGAGTCTGTTCGCTGCAAATTGCCGTGAATAGAGTGCACACCTCTGCCGGTGTGTGTATACAAGCTCCCTATCAGTGTGCGATAGAGAGAAGCAAGGGTAGCTATAGACAGACCTGAATTATAGAGCCACTAGCATACAACCTGGCGTGTTTGGGACATGGCTGATGCAATACTGTGTACTTTGGCTCCCATTGGAGTGGTACATGTGGTGGGGTAGTCAATGCTTCCTTTGTTCGCTGGTGAATACACTCTGCCTTCCCCAGTGTAAGGGTGGGGACGGTGGCCTTTGTGTACTCATGGCACCTCCCCTCTACACGTCTGACTCCTTTATTTCTCCAGTCCACCCACATTTTTACTCATTCACTCCCCCCTCTCTCTCCTCTCCTCCACTTTCACACACACTCTCACTCTCTCTGTATCTCAAATGTAGGAGACGTGGGACGAAGCCGTTGAGATAGTGGAGACCATCAGGTAACCCATTCCCTTCTCCCTCTTTTCTCTCTCCTTCCCCCCTTCTCTTTGCTCTCCTGTCCCCTCTTCTGGGGATAAGGCTGTCCTGACTTCCACTGGACTATCATGACTATTGCCTGTGCCATTACTATCCATAATCCTAGCTCTATAGGTGTACAAACCTATGTGCTACTTGTACTGTTACAAATGTAAATTACACTACTTCTATTGCCTGCCCTCTATAATATGGTGTACATAACTGACCAATATACAGTCTATACTGGAGCTATGGGGATGCCATGTGGCCCTATTGTGTCTGCAGTACACAAAGCCATTTGCCGTGCCCACTCTTGTCATACACTCAATACTACACATAGAGACCCCTCTGGCATCTACATGTTGCGCAACTTCGCTGGATTCCTCAGTACTCAGTGTAATGTAAACTCATTCCACATTTTTGTCCTTTTATGGCAGTCGTATTGTGTCCTCTACACAACGTGTGGAGTAACAGCCTCTAATCTCACAGAGCTGAGTGTTGCACACCTGTTGTGCTATAGAGCATGGCAATATCTCTGTACTGTGTACTAGGGCGTGTGTGATTGCCCTGTGTGTGCAATTTGTGACCTTACAAATTGACCATCTTTACCACGTGACTGCTGTATGGATAATATGTGTGTGTACTGCATACAGATGGGTCTGCCGGGATTTTCCGGATCTAAAACTTGCAGTGGAGAAATTCGTTCTGAACAGCTTCGAACCCACCAGGTCTGTATAGCCCTGTACTCCAATACACTCACCCTCTAGCCAATTCCGTGTAATACGAAATTCTACCTCTCTCTATGAAGTAGTGAAAAGATTGCTGTACATACATACATACATACATTAGAAGTGAGCCACATGTTGTTCTGTGTTGTGTTAGAGTGTATGTTGGGATGTGCCTCATTTCCTCTTGAGGCTAGAGATGGGTTTTGAGAAGCTGGCCAGAAGCCAGAACCGCTGGAGTCCCAACTCCTTTCCCAGCTCAAATTAGGAGCTTTGTCCCTCCTTTGTAGTGGCCACTACTATACAGCAGAGTATGGGCTCTACAGGAACTCCTGCAGTGGCCCACATGTAGTGTTCCCAGTGGGGAGTGTTGTGGTTGTTTGGGAGGGTGTGTGTTCTATATAGATGGTAGGAATTAAAATTTTGTTTTGTGCCTTTATATACCTACTCTTGCTTTATTTCTCTTTCTTTCCCTCCCCTCTCGTCTCTCTTCTCTTTGTAGTTATGACAGCATGAAGCAGTTATGTGAACGGTACAGCAGAGCTGTGGCCAACATCAAGAAGCTGGTGAGTTTAAATTAACTTTTGGGAGAGGGAAGGGGGAAGGGGAGTAAAGGAGTGTGGCTGTGTGGGTCAATCAAAATGTTCTGGTGGAGGAGTATTTCCAAGGGCAGTAGCCCTGGGGTCTATGAAAACAGACCCTGCCACTGGTTTGTTGGGAATCTGGTGTTACTACGCTCAATGTGAGGTGGAGGATTACTCTCCCTTCCTCCCGAGCAGGGCTCAATTTTCACTTGGAATTTCTGTGGTGTTTGCTGTTCGTTTCACACACACACACTCTCGCTCCACTCCCTTCCCTCAACTGTCTTGTTTGTACAACAGCAGCACATAAAGGACGCCTGGGTTTACAGACTTTTCCTTCACATGCACGACTACTGCACGGCACAAATGCACAGTCGGGAGCCTGAATATAGCTCATCTTTTCCCTTCTGTCTCTCCCTCCCTCCCTCCCTCCCTCCCTCCTCTGATGCAGTGGTCAGGGCGGCAGCCTCCACCAGGAATCGATGCGCCTCCCTCCATCCCTCTCCTCCGTCACATCATCAACCAGGCCTACAGCAGAGCCATCACCAGCCCAGAAGACCTCAACTCTTACGAACCTTTCTCCCCCGAGGTACATACAGTCACCACCCGCTCGTCCCATTTGCCGATGCGTGTCCCATTAACCGATTGGATATCCCTATTAGGTGTACGGAGAGACTTCGTTTGAATTGGTCTGTGAGGTCATAAAACTCACAAAAATGACAGAGAACGATGTTTTCTTGGACTTAGGAAGTGGTAAGGAAGAGCACAGATTTTCCTATTTCCCTCCACCTCTGGAGGTCTTGGTGGCGGGTATTTTTCCTTTGTCCTACACAGAGCTGTGTGCATGCACTCTTCTGGCAGTGTTTGTATGCATTAATCATAAGCTCTAGCCGCCCCTCTTAGGATAATATTATCTGCCACTAATTGCAGATGTATATATGGCGTTGAATGCGTTGCTATAGGAATCTGTGGTTGTGACTTGCACGTGGACCAACCTGCCTGCACTCCCATTGTGAACGTTACACCGTCTCTTTACTCCCCGTGCGTGTGTGTGTGTGTGTGTGTGTATCTTGGTTGATTGTATTATGTCCACAGAGGCCCGTGGGAGGCGTTTTCCATTCACGTTGTGAGCTTCACTCTCCCAGGAACAATGGCTAGTTTTAGCACCGGGCACTTTCCCAAGCTCCCGGCGTGACAGACATGCACAGTGCTACGTGCATATGGCACATTCAGACGCTCCAGCCTCTGTTTTGGGTAGCTCGGAGCATCACAATAACCGATTGTTTGACATTTCTATTCATCTCTGAGGGTTTATAAACTGGCAGTTGTTTTTTCGCCTTCTGTGTGATCCTGGCCAGTATGTACACGCATTCATCTGTGCTGGTCTATGTATATTAAACCCTCCCCTCCCTCTCTCCTCCCTCCCTCTCTCCTCCCTCCCTCCCTCCAATAGATGTCCAATGTCTGTTTACCCCTGTGTTTGTGCCCATAATACCTTGTGCTATAGTGTTTGTATGGGCTCAATAGAATCATAGCTCCCATGGAGATAGTTGTGTATGTGTGTGGCTGAATGATGTTTACCATCTGCACTAATACTGGGCGAGGACATGTTGTAGAATGTTCCGGAATTCACTATCTATGGCTGTACTATAAGGCTGTATAATAGGCAGAGGACCCTTCCTGTGTAAAGAATATGCCACATTAACATACAGTAACATACACACATGGTGTAGTGTAAGTATGTATACTGATGCATGTAACCCTATACCTCAGTCACATATCTCTCCTATCGTACCTATTTATTTTATATATATACGTGTTATGCACATGTGTTGGAGGTAAGTGAATGTACTGTCACTGTGTGTGTCTGACAATGCTGGAGTCTTCCATTTTGTAAAGGTGTGTGGGTTATGACAATGATGCACCCACTCTTTGACCCAGCTAGCGTGTCTTTGATCCGTAACGACCCTGATTGGCAGGCAGCATGCATCAGACTAGGTCTTAAAGGGTCTTAAGTATGTAGGCATCTTGATTGGGGCTTTAAGTATTAGACTGGCTGTTGAGCACAGTGTGTGTCCTAACACACTGATACATTGCACCATTACCGGTGTATTACACATACCAGAGAATCAACGTGTGGAGTTGTGTACGGACGTTGCTCAAGGGTGCGTGGTGGTCTTGTTTCAGTGGGAGTCGGGGTCACTCACATACGCTCCAGTACCAGACCCTAACACAGTCTATTAGCACACACATGTGGGACTGCTTCAAGCACATAATGCATGTATGTATGTACCTCGGTTTGAGAATTTCTGTTCTAAGCAGCGTGGCATTCCTTGGTGCCTTGTTAGTCCACAACACCTCTGTTATATACTGGAACTCGAGCTTCTGTTGCTGTCAGGGAAGACCAGGGCCCTGGTGTAGCAAGAGACCACTAACATTCCTTTCCACCGAGTAATGATCCAGGCCAAGGGCTTGGGAGATGCTTGAGTACCTGTGCATTCATCTGTAAACCTATCGTAGTATAGTACTAGCACATGTATTGCAGGATCAAAGGGAGGATTGTATGGATGTGCTCTATATGTTGTGTGTTGTGTGTGCCGGCAATTGGCAGGTGGCCAGCTTATCTGTAAACACACATATTATCGTGTATACAGGTGACTACATACACAGTAGAGTATGTTATTATGTACATTTATCCTACTGTATGTTATTATGTACACAGTACGGTATGTATTTATGTACATTAATCCTACTGTATGTTATTATGTACATTGATCCTACTGTATGTTATTATGTACACAGTACAGTATGTTATTATGTACATTAATCCTACTGTATGTTATTATGTACACAGTACGGTATGTATTTATGCTAAGACGTGATGCACTGTTGTGTGTATGTCAACGAGCAGCTGTGTATGCCATGTGTGTCTATTTAGAGCCCCCCCCCCCCTGTTTCTGCAGGCGTTGGCCAAATTGTGCTGCAAGTGGCGGCCAAAGTTGGGTGCAAATGCTATGGACTGGAAAAGGCAGATATACCGGCCAAATTTGCTAGGGTAATCAAATTTTCTACGAGTCATTCCGTTTCATTTGTCTAGTATGCTCTAGTACAAAACTCATTGATTTTTTGTGGTAGTTATTACTTGGCTCGAAACTGGTATTGTGTGCATCTGGGTGACAGTTTGGAATTGTATGCACATCTTACATACACTACATTTGGCATGTACATACATACGTGCATTATGTACACATTTACATTTTACACACATGTACATTATTTACACACATGTACATTATGTACACACATGTATTATATGCGTGTGTATACTGTCAATCTTGTACGTGTCGTGTACAGAGTTATGTAAATCATGTATTTTTCATGTACATTATGTATTTTTCATGTACATTATGTATTGTTCACGTACGTGCTTGTACTTCCGTGGTGTGTATCACCTGGTAGCGCTGTTTTTACAGAAGATTTCAGTTTACTCTAAACACGAGCGACGTGTTTTGATTCTGGAGGTCTTGGGGGGAAACGTGCTTTCTCTTTCGGCACGACGGCTGAGCCAAAACTATCCCAGCCACACTAGCTCTGTATAGTGCTGCTCTGTTATGAGCTAACAGTTTCATTGAACTATAATATTGGCCAAGTCATGCGTGTATCCAGTCACATGAGGCTAGCTGTAAACTGTTAATATTTGAACTTCTCTCTCTCGAGTAAGTAAATTCATCTCTACGTGAGGCGTATTGTGATTGGCAATGTTTGGGAGTGAGGAATTCAGGTGATGAGGGTGTAACCAGACAGGTGCTATTTTGCTGTATCAGCCTATGTTGGAGTTTATTAGCGATTGTGGGGTCGTGAATATCATTATCGCAGGTCCGTCTGTGGGAGTAGCGTTTCCCATGAATACTCTGCCCGCACACATGTGATTTTTTTTAATTACGATGATGTCATCGTCTAGCATCGAACACTGTTCATTTTATTTACCATTACATCGTTGGTTTAGATCACCTAGCTCTGCTACACGTGACCTACATATAAATGTGTCCATATCCCATAAGTGGACCACATACATTTAGCAGTGTGTGAATACACCATGTTCTCCAATAGAACATACCTAACCAAGTACTATGATAGGTGATTGCATCCACTGTACTGTGATAGGTGATTGCGTAGCTTTATTCCTGTGTGTATGTGTGTGTGTGGTTGTTTGTATGTACAGAGTATGGAGGAAGAGTTTGTCAAATGGATGGACTGGTACGGGAAATCCTACGGCGAATTCGAGCTGATAAAGGGAGACTTTCTCGACCCTTCGTTTGACGAAATTCTCCAGTCGGCCACGTGAGTAAAAACACGCGTGGAATTGAAAGGAATCACCTTTCTTTATCGCCGCGTTTCTCCTCTCTTCCAGAGTGATATTTACCAACAACTTTGCGTTTGGACCGAAGCTGAACCACGAACTGAAGCTCAAGTTTGCAAACTTGAAGGACGGCACGAAGATCGTGTCTTCCCACGAATTCTGTCCGATAAACTTCAGAGTGACTTCGAGAAACATGTCAGGTAACCTTGGTAACCTTGCTGCCTTTGGCTCTGTTCTCATTCTGCATGCAATAATCTAGTTCGTTCAGCGTAGTACCGTACATTCGTAGGAAACTACCCACCCTGCACAAATTCGTTCGGCATTGAATTATGTTGCCCCTTCCAGAAGAAGTGTCCCAAGTTGATTCAGTATTCTGTGGTAGTAGTGTGTGGGGGGTGGGCAACCCATGCAAGGCAGTGGTTTCCAGTCTGGTGTAGTGAGTTCAACCCACTTCCCTGCTGAGGTCTAGGTCACTACTCTTCTAGTGGCCACTGTACACATCCTGCTCTCACTCCCACTCCTTCATCTTCCCCTCTCTCTCTTGCCCCTCTCTCTTGCCCCTCTCCCTCCTCCTCTCTCTCTCTCTCTGCAACTTTACCCCCTCTCTCTAACTCTTCTTCACCTCACACATCCTCACCCTCTCTCTCCTCCCTCCACCCTACCTAGACATAGGCTCCATAATGCACGTGGCAGAGCTCTCATCTCTCAAGGGAAGTGTGTCTTGGACGGGAAAACAGGTCAGCTACTACCTCCACACCATCGACAGAGGAAAGCTGGAGAAGTTCTACCTCAGACAGAAGCACCCCGACGAATACAAGGTGGGCAGCACTTCCGTGGTTTATCTGTCTTTAACATTGAATGGCAGTGGTCTATCTGTCTTATAACATTGAATGGCAGTGGTTTATCTGTAAATCCCTAGTTAAAAACACCCTCACAAATACAAGTGTGCACCGCCCTGGTTTATCTGTCTCTCCCAGTAATATAGAATGACTTATATATCCAAGTCCATATTATGTTTGTGGCACCTGTAGTCAGTATGCTCTGACGTAGTGCATGTCACGAGGGCAGAATTGTTATATCGCACCCAGCCTTAGTACGCTAACTATACAACATTATGTATGTATGTGTTTCTCTGCAGTCGGAGAGCTCCAGTCACTCCAGTTCATCCTCCTCGGACGATGACAGCTGCTCGGACTCGTCCTCTGATAGCGGCGATGACCACTTCAAGAGTGCTCTACAGAGAATCAAGGTTCTTTACAACCACTTTACAACACCCTATTTGGTACCAGATTGACCGGGGTCCATTTATACGTTAGGGGTACTCCCCCATTTTAGAGTTTGCACAAGGACACATGGCTTTGCACCTTCTAAATACTCGTTTTCCCCCTCTGCCCCCTTGAATATATTTGTAATGAAGTTATTTTCAGAAATGAAAGTTTAAAATTCTCTGTTCTGCAGTTGAGTCACTCCAGACCGGGAAGTAAGAAGGAACATCTGAACTCTGACCTCAAGTCGCGATCGGGGAAGACACCCAAGACTGCTGCGGGTCACAAGGAAGACGAGAGATGGAGGAAGAAGAGGTGGCCACAGCTGAAGTCGAGAGGTCACAAAGATTCAAACTCGTCCGCGTTTTCTTCCTCTGCTGTTTCTTCTCCCGGCATCATGGATGTGGATGGCCTCTTCTGTAAGTCTCTCCCTGAGAAACTAAAAACAGCGATGTAACGTCTCGTTTTTCTTCTTTTGTTGGCAAAACTGGACACGACTGACTAAGCCATATTTAACTCTCTCTCTCTCTCTCTCTCACTCACACACACACACTATCTCTCTCTCTCAGCGTCGTTCCACCATCAACTAGAGGCGTATATGGGCCAGCTGAGCACTCCGTACTTCCAGCAGTGGATTGTTGATGCCATTGAGAAGGAGAAGATGAAGAAGAACCATCTCCAGGGAGTCATTACCCACCTGGAGTCTGAGGTGGCTGGCCTGTCAAAGGAGACGGTGGAACAGATGAAGGCTAGCATGAAAGAGGTACGGGAGGGAGAGGAGAAAGATGGACCGATGGAAAGAAGGAGATGGGCCTCGAAATTGAAAAGTTGTGATGCAGGCCTGCCCTATGCAATGTGTAATCCTACCCGTGTGTCATAGCGCCTTTGAACCCTTGGGTGTCTCCTAATAGCTTAAAATTTGGTGCAAAATCCAAGAAAGTTTTTTAGAGAAATATTTCTTGCTTGTTTTACCATTTGAATTTCCACCACATATTGAACTTAACTATGAGATTTAGACGGCTTTTTATGCTGGTTTTGAAGTGGGTTTGGAGAAGGAGCGCATGTTTCACAAACGTGCAATTGTCTTCCCCTGTTCAGTTGGGAATCCGGAAGATGACGCCAGATGGCCTTCTCCTGGGGGCCACGTCCATCGTCTCCCAGAACAAGCAGCTGAGGAAAGAGATGACAGATCTCGAGAGGGAGATCACGGCTCTCAGGCAGCAGAACAAGGCAATGGTGGGTCCACTCTTACACCCAGTGTAGCTGAAACAGTTTCGACAGTGGAATCTTTGACGCTTGCTCCAGCGGCCCAGGGCTTGGGTCCTCCAGTCAGAGATGCTAGCTGAGGCTGCCGCTGAGGCAGCTCCGATGCGGAAGGAATAGACTATAGCAATACTCGAAAACTGTAGCTAACAGCTTGTGCTCCTGGTTGGGAACCACACACATATGAAAACTGTGTTTTGGGGTGCGTTTGGAGTACTCAGGCTTGTGGGCATTTGCGCAAGTAACTACAGTACCTTATTCAGTGCACGCCTACAGTTACACAGTCGGAGATTCGCAATGTATAAAACTTCTTGGAACGCTTTAAATCCTCACAGAAGTTTACCTTATATTGTATTGCTGAGAAGTCTGTAGGTAATAGTGTATTAGTTGATCGCTTGTTGATGTTTTCTCGCAGGAGACAATGTGTGCACATCAAAAAGGTGACCCAAAACCCTCCTTCCGAAACTCCCAACGGAGGAGTGGGGAACAAGGGGGTGGTGACAATAGATTGAAGAAAAAGCAGCAAAGGGAGCTCAAGAGGCGAGAGGAGAGGCATAGGAGCGAAAGGGGGAGGGAGAAAGAAGAGATGAACTAGAGGAGGCGTCGAGGGGAGGAGCTTCGCTGTCGCATGATAGAAACGCAGGAAAGAAAGAAATACCTTATTATCCACTCTCGGATGTCCAAAAACCACATGTGGTCCGATTGAGTCCAAGAAGTAAGAAATAGAATGGAGAGAATCGACCAGCACGCTACTGGAGCTGGGGTACGTACGCGAAGGACGCATACGACGCCGAAGAAGAAAGGATGACAAGCGTCAGAATAGGTCAAAGAAAGCAGGTAGTGTATGGGGGGTAAGACGGAAGAAGGGGCAGAAAGAAAGTTAAAGGAAGGGCACGGAGGGGGGAACGGCAGGCAGGAGGCAGACAGAGGCAGCCGCAGAAGGGGGGAAAACGGGCAGTGTGGTCGAGAAGGTCGAGGAAAGAGTTCTTGACGGTTCACTCATAAGAGGAGGGGAGGGGGGGGGGGGGCTGGGAGGGAGAGGAGGGAACGGAATCA